GTAAGTGTCAAGTGTTTGGTCTGAGGCTGGATTTGAACACAGGTCCTCATGACTTCAGAGCCGGTGCTCTATCCATTGCACCACCTACCTGTCCCCCCTTCCCTCCTTTCTATTATATGGTCTATTATTATTAATAATAGCTTCTCATCTCTTCATTCATTCATTCATGCATCATGTCATATAAACATCATGGCAGTAATTTTTGGTTTTATATGATTTTTCCCATTATCTAATGTAGATTCCTTATGAAAACCTTTATTATTCATATGTATGCTCTAGTGAATGATTTTCAGGACAATTTTGCTATATTTTTCTCATTAGAAATGCATTTGATATGCTAAATGAATTAATTTTAAAAATACAAATTTACCCCATAAAATTCATATCACTAGTGAGGGAAAAATGGTTATGAATTTAATTAGTAATTGAAGTTTTTAACTGAGCAGAATATTTTAGCGTGGTTGCTAAGTTATTCTCCTTTAGTGAGTATCAGTTCTTTATTTATGTTCTGTTTATCATCATTATTAGCAGCAACTATAGCAAGAGTATTTACTAAGTGCTTATCAGGACAATGCCTTCAAGAGATGAATAAAGTAAGTGGAATAACCTTGTTTCTGATGCTGCAAAAACTAGCTTAAAGCTTTAGAGAGGCTACTCCTAGTATCCAAAAAAAAAAAGATAAAGACAAGAGAGAATGTGTGTACACCTACATAAGTAGTTATATGCACATATGCACACTTGTATATAGGTTTGTATACATATACTTATGCATTTCCATACATACACAAACACTTAATTAAACTTACAGGTAAAAAAAGTTTTATTATCACAAATTCAGCATCTCAGAACTGAGAACTCAGAGGTCATCTAGTTCAACCCATATCTGAATAAGAATGCATTCAAGAAATTGCAATATAAGAGGTCACCTGACCTTTATTAGGAAACCTACAGTGAAAGGGGAACCACTGTCTCCTAAGACAATTTCATTTTGGGGTAGCTTGAATTTTCAGGATATTTTCCTGCTAACAATCTTAAATTTGCCTCTTTCTATCTTCTACTTATCACTTTTCAATCTGCTAAGCAGACCAATAAGTGGCATGCTTACACATAAGTGAAGAGAGCAATTATATGTCTCATAAGTATTCTTTTCTTCAAAGTGAATATAACAAAGTTCTTCAAGAATTTCTTCTTCAGCATGAATTTGAAGATCTTTTCCCTTCCTGGGTGAACATTTGAATTTATGAAATGGATTTTTACAGATGAGATGTCACAGATAGTTTCTCACTGAGTTATCAATATTACTGAAATGAGACCAAAATAATATCCTTGAAATATTATGTTGGGATTTGTGTGTATGTGTGAGTTATTGGTGAAAGATTCCCAAATTTATTTGGCCTACCACCACCCCACCTTTTTTGTTTGTTTTTGGCAAAGCAATCAGGGTTAAGTGACTTGTCCAAGGTTACACAACTATTAAGTGTCAAGTGTCTAAGGATGGATTTGAACTCAGGTCCTCCTGATTCCAAGGCCAGTGTTCTATCCACTGTAACATCTAGCTAACCCTACCATCCCCTTTCAAAAAATACTCAGGGCCCCCCTGGGGTTAGGTTAGGTTAACCCTTATTTTTATTCCACGTCCTCCAATTACATCCATGGCTACTACCATCCCTTGGATCATTCCAGTGCCTCTAAGTGGCAGTATTACCCACTTTGAGTACATGTGTTACTCCCTTTACCAATGTAGATATCTTCAATGTAACATAAAGTCTTGGAGAGTTGCCTAAAACACTGAGAACTTAAGTGATTCATACAGTCATTATATATCATAGTTGGAGATTGAACCCAGGTCATCCTAGGCTCCTCGGTTGCAGGCCATCTTTCTCTATCCACTATGCAATTTGCTGCTGCATATTTATAAACACATACATACATGTGTAATTCACAATATAACATATACATATATTCAATATGTCAATATGTGTATACTTTGTATTTAAATATAGGGAAACTGAGCCATAATGCATTTTTGTTTCCAGAGTTTTGTTTTTCTTTTTCCCAATGGGAGTATTTTGGAGGGTGATGAATTGAATTATTTTTAAATTTTTTTTTTTTAGGAAAAGAAACATTCAGATAGGTTAATGACTTGCCATTGTATTTGTACTCAAAATTTAAAATAGGCATATCTGGAAAGTCACTTAACATCTTTGAGTCTCAATTTCCTTTTATGTAAACTATATATTACCTTCTTCAGAGTTGTAAACACATAATGAGATAATGTATATAAAAATGATTTTTAAAACTGCAAACACTATATAAATGATATTTTAGGCTACAATCTGGCCTGTATAAATTTCAAGTGTGGCAAAAAATTAGGGAAATTCCTAGGCTATAGTGGGGATATAACTGGAAAAAGAAAATGCTCAAGATCACGAGTCACTGGAATCTCAGGAATTCTGATAGACAGTTGCCCTCTACATCAGTAATTGGAGCATGAAGATTTGTTTGTTTCACATAACAGAAATTATTGAACTGGCGAGGTGATATGTTAACCCCTACAATAAATTTCTTCAAACACTTCTATTTGAATTCACCACCAATTGAGCATCTCCATGAAAGAAAAGGAGACAAGCAATGGTCTTGGAACTCAAATAACCAAAAATGGAACAAGAGCCAAACCAGAAAAAGCACTAGCACCAGCACCAACACTAGGATTATCACATGTATCTCTATCTATCTATCTATCTATCATCTATCTATCTATCTATCTATCTATCTATCTATCTATCTATCTATCTATCTATCTACCTATCTGCAATGTAAACCTGTTGGTATGACCCCTTTCCTGTTTGTTATCAGTGATTTCTGCACAAATCCCAATCATTACTCTTATTTATCATAGAGAACCTGTCATGATGGAAGCAAAATAAATTGACTGAAAGGCTTCATTTGTGTCATCTCCCTTCTAATTAGATTGTTGTTGCACCTTCATTTTGTAAGAGGACCAATAATATCATGGGATGATATTTTGACTTGCATATGACTTGGATTTAAGTGAGGGAGAGTTGAACAAAGTCATCAGCTTCACTTTCCCAGAGTCATTTAGGTTTAGCAGCAAGACAAAAGTCAAGATGATCACAGATATTACGGGAAGTAGTGGATGACCTTGGCATCTTTGTTTCCTGACCAAGCCATAACTACTCCACAACCCCTGCTTCAGTCACCTTCATGGCCAACAGAACAAGTTTTTTCTCATCCACCCATTGTACCAGGGGAAGTCTCCACATGCTTTCGATAGATCTCATCATAACCCACTGATTTATTTGAGGCATGATTGTTACCCTCAATTTGGTTTAGCCCATCTATCAACATGGTTTACTGAGGTATTGCCATTGTATTTGCTATAGCTTCTTGGATCCATGGTTGAGAGTTGGGAGACAGGTAGATACTAAAATTAGGTGAACAGCCTTGGAAAAGGCTTGGTAAGTCCAAACACCAGAGGTACTAGTCCTCACTGAACAACCCATATGCTCCTCTAATTAGATAAGGGAGATTTTGTGGTTAAACTTTTAAGTGCCTTAAAGTGATACATGAACAATAAAAAAGTGAGTTTTGACAGCTGAAAAGGGGGAAGCAAGGATAGATGAAATTGACATGAAAGGGCACTGAATAAGTCTTTTTTTTTAATGAACCCCAAACTCCATTATTTTATTTCCAGATTTCATGAATATGCATTTCAAGTGCTGGAGTTCAGATGACTCTAAGGAGTTTGATATTCAAGAACCTCTGAGAGGTTTTTGTGATCAAGAAAATGAAGAGAGAATACATAAAATGTTATGCTGCCAATTAAGATTTTCATATTTCCATTAAGGATGCTAATTCTAGAATGCCATTAATGTATTACATTTTTAAATATATCGTTCTTTGTCTTAAAGAATGAAAAATAGCTCCAAGTGTTTAGAAATTATATGGAATTCTATCACAGCTAGTTTAGATTCAGGAATTTATGTCTTTTTTTTTATTTGCATCCCATGGCTGTTTAAACAAAGATTTTCCTTTGTCATTTGAAATATTAAAATATAACTGAAAGTTCATCTTTAAGAGAAATATCACTAGGATAATATTCATAGGCTCATAGGATCATAGCTTTAGAGCTGGAAAGAATTTTAATGATCATTTAATACATTGTCATAATTTTACAGATAAGGAAACTGAGGGACTCTGTATTATTCTAAAGTTGTATACTATGTATCAGACTGCTGAACATTTAAAATCCAATGTAGCCAAGTAAACACATTTGGAAAATGTATATTCAAATAAGGTTTATTGTTCTTGTGATCCTCTCTTCTCACAAGAGGGTGGAAATGTGGGAGGGTTTCTATATGAAGTCTAAAGTAAGAGTTACCATTCTTCCCTTTTTCAGATGACACTAACCACACTACATAAGGGTTGGCAAGGTAGGTGGCTTAACACGGGTATGAGAAGTAAATCTGTGGTGATTTTCTTTTTTTGTTTGTTTTTTAAAATTACATTTTATTTTCAGTTATGAATCTTTCTTGTCTCCACTTCCTTGCTCACAGAGAAACAAAACCATATTACAAACATGTAGAGTCAAGCAAAATAAATTTCTGCATTGGTCACATTAAAAAGAGAAAAAGAACTATGACTCTATCTCCACACTGAGTCCACCTCCCTTCCTGGAGGTGAGTAGCATTGTTTTATCCTGTGTCCTCTGGCGTTGTGGTCTGTTGATGGCATCGATCAAAATTCCTAAGTCTTGCAGAGTTGCTTGTCTTTATAATATTGCTTGTTATTGTATAAATTGTTCTTCTAGTGCTGCTCATTTCACCTTGCAGCAGTGCATACAAGTCTTGCCCAGTTTCTCTACATCCATCATTGGTTGATTTCTAAAGCACTTGCACCGCCTGTCTGTAGTTCAGGGCCACCGGAAAGTCTTATTTTCTTCTTTTTTAGAAGCGGGGTGCCTGAGCGCCGGCCATGCCCTATTGGTAATACAGCTCCAGGTTCATTCCGTCGTGGATTTCATAGTCCCCCAGTGTCACGTGGTCCTTGAACACTGTGTACCACTTCTTCAGGACGATCTTGTTCCAACGGGTACCCATCTGAGCCTCAATCATCTTCTTCAGGTCCCCAATGGAGTCGTCGGGGCTGCACTTCACATGAACTTTCTTGCCCAGCCTGTTGTTGCACACAACCTCGATCATGGCTCCTGGACACCCTGGGCCACCAGCAACTGCTGCAGGCCTTGGTGCGCATGCGCTCTAACACCACCCGGTGGAGGGCTGCCTTTTATGGGCGCCAGAAACCAGAAACCAGAAGCCTTTTTAAGTCCTTCTTGAGTCCTGTACTTGAAGATCAAATTTTTTGTTGAGCTCTGGTCTTTTTATCAGGAAAGTTTGGAATTCTCCTATTTTGTTGAATATCTACCTCCTCCCTTGAAAAATGATGCTCATTTTTGCTGGGTAATTGATCCTTGGCTGCATTTCAAGCTCCTTTGCCTTACGGAATATCATGTTCCGTGCCCTGCGGTCTTTTAATGTAGAAGCTGCAAGGTCCTGTGTAATCCTGACTGTGGCTCCATGATATTTGAATTGTTTCTTTCTGGCTGCTTGCAGCACCTTCTTTTTCATCTGGTAATTTTGGAATTTTGCTATTATATTTCTTGGCATTGTCAATTTGGGATCTCTTTCAGGTGGTGATCTGTGGATTCTTTCTATGGTTATTTTCCCTTCTGGCTCTAGGACTTCCAGGCAGTTTTCCTTTATGATTTCCTGGAAGATACTGTCTAGGCTTTTCTTCATCATGATTTTCAGGTAGTTCAATAATTTTTAAATTGTCTCTCCTGAGTTGATTTTCCAGGTCGGTTGTTTTACCGATGAGGTATTTTACATTTTCATCGATTTTTTCATTTTTTTGCTTCTGTTTGACTGATTCTTGCTCTCTCATAGAGACATTAGTTTCCATTTGTCCAATTCTAGTTTTTAACAGATTGTTTTCTTCTGTTAGATTTTGTACTTCCTTCTTCAACTGGCCAATTGTGTTTTTTAGGGGACTTGTTTCCTTCAGTGTATTTTTTTTCCAACTGGCCAATTGTATTTTTAAAGGACTCTTTTACCTCTCTCATTTGAGTATTAAAATCCTTCTTGAGCTCTTCTAAGAAGGTTTTTTGGGCTTCAGACCAGTTCATATTCCCTTTTGTTGTTGCAGATGTGGGTTTGTTGACAATGCTGTCCTCTTCAGAATTTCTGTCTTGATCTTCACTCTTCTCATAATATGAATCCATGGTACGTTCCTTTTTACTCATGGTGTTTCTTTATTCCCTGGCCTTTAAAGAGATTGAGCTCTCCTGCTGGGTAGCAGAGGGCACTGACCCAAGCTTCTTTTGTTGGGAGCCTAGGTCTTGGTCACTGGCTTTGTTTGCTTTGGCCTCTTATGCTGGGAATTGGAAGCTGTAGGTTTCTGGCAGCTTACCTTGTGTTGGGCTGGAATTAGGAAGGCTGGAACTTTCAGGCAATTCTAGGTTGCCTGCTTTTCCTTTCCTTTAGCTTTCTTCTTCTCCTTTTAGATGGCTGCTGCAGGATGTTTATCTGCCTGGGGCCCCCTGCAGCGTTGTCTCCCTCCTTTCTGCTAATGCACTGGGAGATTCCTTTGCAGTGGAGTGCCAAGACTCCTGGTGGTTTTCTGAGCTGGTTTCCACCAGTTCCCTCCACCCTCACTGAGGCACTTGGAGGTCCAGGTGTTGGTGTTTGCCTGCTCTACCACCTGGGCTTCAGGATTTCTTCACAATTGGAGGCTTCAGGGCTCCTAAAGCTCACCTGCTGTTGGGTTGGAATCAGCAAGGCCGGGGCTTTAGGAAGCCTGTAGGTTGTTTTCTTCACCTCCTTTCAGATGAATGCCGCAGGGTACTTATCTGCAGGCTTATCTGCCTGGGGCCCCTTGTTTTTGCTGAGGCACTGGGAGACCCATTTGCTGGGCTACTGCACTTGCTGCTCCTTGTCTTTCTTCAAGTTCAGGTGTTCCACTGTTTTTTTTTTTTTCTGGGCTGATATTTTCTGGGTTTTCAGAGGTTGATAGGGGAGAGTGAGAGCGACTACCTTTTCACTCCGTGAAATGGAAATTGGAAATTCCCCTTTAAATTAATAAGATCACTCAAATAAATAGGTTCAGTTCAAATCTCGGTCATGACCGTTCCATATCTCCTGAGTGTTCTTGGCCTAGCATTCCAGGAACTAGCCATTCCTAGGTCACGTTGACATGGAGGGTTGGCTCCTCTCCTTGTGAGACGTGATGTTATTAAAAAACAAAATACCAAGCCTCAGGCGGATGGGAGCGTGGCTAAGGTCAGATGTGTATTGGACAAACCATGAATAGCGCATGCATCAAAAAGGGCTTCTTGGCCCCAAGCCTTCTTTGTTTAGAACAATATAAAAACACTGCGTCCTGTAAGCCCACTGAGCCTCACCCGCGGGAAGGACGCTTCGCCCGGGAAAATCTTTACACAATTCAAGTTTGTACTGGCTGCAAGGGGGCTCCCAGCCGTTGATTGACTTTGGAGGTTCCCTTGAATTGGTGATGTATTCTCTTCCATTACCGACTCTCTTGATCGGTGCTATATTATTGATTGTTCTTATTATTTATGCTTTCTATGCAAATTCAAACTATCTGTGCTTTGCTTCTTCTAAATAAATTATCTATTTCCTATTATTTTCTGGTGCATTGGAGAGTGTCATTTATAGGAGCGAATCCGAACCTCACTAAATCCTATTAATACACTCCGCCATCTTGATCTGTGGTGATTTTCAGGAATGTCTTTGTACATTCAAAGATATAGAAGCAACACAATTAAATATGTCTAATTTTGCTTCTATTTTCTCAACCAAGGAAAACATTTTGAACTTCCAAGGGGAAAACAACAAATTCCAGAGAAGTCCAAGATAAATAACATGTAGTAAGTGAGCCCCACAATGGCCTTAATTTATTAGGGTCATATAAATTAGACTGCTTAATTGTTAAAGAACTTTTGAATTCAACTACAAAATCTTTGACATGAAACTTGTGTAGAATGGGAAAAACATTCCAGGATTTTGAATAGTCAAAATGTACCAATTTTCAAGTTGAGAAAGATGGTCAGTTTCTTGTCACAGTTTGTCTTTTCTCATTAGATTGTAGTCTCTTTGAAGGAAGACTATCTTTTTTTTTCTTTCTTTGGATTCTTAGCACGTTTGGCTTATGATGGGCACTTAACAAATATTTATAGAATTGTCAAATTGAAGAACATCAATAATACTGGGTATTATGTCTAATTCATAAGCAAATCTCTGGTTTGCATAAGGCTTCTCTGACAATCCCTATGTAAGCAGAGTCAAGCCAAGACTCTGTGAGAATAACTTGGTATTCCAAACTGTAGGTCTTATTCTCTTGTTCAAGAAGCTCCAGGAACTTCCAAATTCCTCTAGATTAAAATATCAACTCCTCTGCTTAGTATTTATATCATCTTTCAATCTGGATCCATCCTTAAGCTTAAAACACAGTATTCTTTTTTCCACTATATATACCAGTCAAGCTCCACTGCTTGCTATTCCAATATATGACATTCAATCACAACCTCCATGTCCTTGTAAAATTTGTCACTCACAGCTGAATTGTATTCTCTCTTCATCGCTGCCTTATAGAACATTTTTTTTTCCTTGAAGGTCAGGTTATGCACCAATACTTACACAAGGCCTTTACTGATTTCTCCCCTTTGGTGCCCACCATCATCTATAAATTTAATACTCACTTATCTGAATATGTATCATTTTTTCTTCATAAAAAAACAGATTTGGAAAAGGTCTATGGAAGTTTTAGTCATTGAATGTAAGATATTCAAAAGTACCTGTATTAACTTCTTGAAATCAGAGACTATTTCATTGTCTCCATTTTTAATCCATAGCCCCTATTGTAAGACTTGGCAAATATTGGTATCTTCAAACATACTTATTAGATAATTTTAAAGGTTTTATTTTATTGTATATCAAGCTGTAACCAGATTTTAAAAGGCTTTAAAGCCAAACATGATCTTTCTGACAAAATGGCAGCCTGCTTTGAGGAAAACCACTGAGATATCATGCATCTGTTGCAACAAAAAACCTAACAATAGTACCAGAGTGAAAAATGGTAGTAAGAAATTTCAGTCAAGATCTCCCCCCCAAGGGACTTCTGCTTCCAGAAGCCAAGATGGCAGAGTAAAAAGGTAGTAGCACTCACCCTCTCCTATCAGCCTCTGAAAAACCAGAAAATATCACCCCAGAAAACAGAAAAAAACCTGGAACAGCTGACCTTGAAGAAAGACGGGGAGCAGCAATGCAGCAGCCCAGCAAATGGGTCTCCCAGTGCCTCAGCAAAAATAAGGGAAGCATCACTGCAAAGGACCCGGCAGATAAGCACCCTGCAGCATTCATCTGAAAGGAGCTGAAGAAAGCAACCTAGAGTCTTCCTAAAATCCCAGCCTTGCTGATTCTAACCCAACACCAGGTAAGCTGTCAGAACCCTACAGCCTCCAACTGTCAACCAGGAGGAGATCCTGCAGCCCAGGTGGTAGAGCAGGCAAACACAAACACCTGGACCACCCAGTGCCTCAGTGAGGGCAGGGGATCCGGTGGAAATCAGATCAGAAAACCACCAGGTGTCTCAGCACTATACCTCAAAGTAGTCTCCCAGTACATTAGCAGAAATGATAGAGGCAGCAGTGCAAGGTGCCCCAGGCAGATAAACACCCTGCAGCACCAATCTAAAAGAAGCTAAAGAAAGCTAATGGAAATGAAAAACAGGCAACCTAGAATTGCCTGAAAGTTCCAGCCTTGTTGATTCCAGCCCAAAAATACAGTTGGCCAATTGGGAAAAAAAAGTACACCGAAGAACACAAATCCCTTAAAAATACAATTGGCCAAGTGAAGAAGGAAGCACAAAAACTAAGAGAGGAAAACAATCTGTTAAAAACTAGAATTGGACAAATGGAAACTAATGTCTCTATGAGAGAGCAAGAATCAGTCAAACAGAAGCAAAAAAATGAAAAAATCAATGAAAATGTAAAATACCTCACTGGTAAAACAACCAACCTGGAAAATAGACTCAGGAGAGACAATTTAAAAATTATTGGACTACCTGAAAATCATGATGAAAAAAAAAAAGAGCCTGGACAGTATCTTCCAGGAAATCATAAAGG